TAGAAGTTGGAAAAAATGTAAATTTAATAAAGGATACATTTCTTTTTGCCGTAAGGGATTTTTTAAAGGACAAAATAAAACATTGTGAAGAAGGTATAAAGGATGTTGTTAGAGCGGAAGATATTTTAATTTTGCTTTCTATTGTTGTCTAACAGGGGATTCAAAATTTTAGTACATGACCCTTCATAATATATTCGCCAATAAATCGATAGAGTTTTATCTACTACATTTTTCCTTGAAGAAACGGTATTCTATTTATTATATCATATTCCAAATTTCGAACTTCTGGAGTTATTGAACATCTCTCTAAATAAGAATCTTTAGGGAAATATAAGTACCTATATAAGGACATTTTCAGATTTTAAAAAATGGTGAAATTTTTATTTTCCCTTCAATTATTAATAATGCAACAGTAATTTCTTTAGCAGTAGCTCTCCAATATCGCTGAAATACTAAAACATTCTCAGAGATAATTTATTAAATGCGAAAACCCTTATACGCCTTCCACTATAATATAATTTAGACTCTCGAGTTCAGTATTCGGAGTGAGAAAATAAAACTAGATAACGATATAACGATAACAACTAGAACAATTTATTTAAACAACTTGAGTGACGAAAGAAATACAACTGGAAGAGGGAGAGATTCGGATCGAATTGCCTAAATTATGAAAAAAAGAAGTCTTCAGAAGAAATATGAAGGAGGAGCTAATAGTTGGTGGATGAAAGTAGGGTGTCAATAAAGTATTAATAAGATTGGAAAGTTTCAAAAATAAGAAATACTAAGAAATAGAATGTAGTCTTAAATCACTGTAGAAAATCTTTGATAAAATTGTAACTAGAAAAGAATGCTAACTACGGACGACATGCGGTTAGTTCGTGAAGCTGAAAAATGTTAACAGGGATTACTGGAGAGTACAAGTAATAAAAGTTATTGACAGCGATAGAATTGAATACAAAAAAAAAAATTGAATAGACTGTTCGAAATATTTACACAAGTATAGGGACACAAAGAAATATAATACAAAAGAATTTGGACACCAAATTTAGATGTACAATTTGAAATACAGTAGAAGCTTGATAACTTAAACCTCTATAACGTAATAACCTCTATAAATTCATAAAATTTTGTGTTCCCTTCACCTCGGAGTCCAAAACCTCTTTTACTTAAAATAAAAACCCTCTATAACTTAAACGAATAATTTGGGCATCGCACCTCAGTAAGCAGTGAAAAGTAGTTTGAATCGGGAGAAAGTCTTCTATGTAAAAGACGAAGAATTGCTGAGTTTCCTAATTTAGAAAAATGCTTGTTTATATGGTTTAGACAGTGTAGAAATAAGTAAAAACATTAATGTTAGTGGACCTATACTAAAGGAAAATGCTGAACAGTTTGCTAAGTCACTGGAAATCCATAATTTTAAAGCATAAACTTAAACCCTTAGTAAGTAAAAACCTCAATAATTAAAATTATTTTACGTTTCCCTTGGTCTTTATTTTATCGAGGTTCTACTGTAGATATTTACAATAATATAAAATTACAATAGGGTTAAAAATTAAAAGGAATACTTACCCCTAATTACTACAAATAATTTTATTTGAGCGGACACGTGTTTCGCTAACTTCATACGTGGGCATTATCAATGCGAGACTGACACGTGTCCGCTCAAATAAAATTATCTGTAGTAATTAGGGGTGAGTATTCCTTTTAATTTTTAATTAACATTTACCACAGTCTCCTCTTTCTAATTACAATAGGGTTATTCATAGGAATATGGAACTCACATATATAAAGTTATTTTTGTGGAAATCTGTCTGACATTAACATCTACGGTTTTACGAAAACTTACACAGTAAACCGACCAAATCCCAACATGTCATTTTCCACCTTCCACCCAATTTTTCCCATCGCGAAGCGCCCCTGTCGCGAATTTTCGGCTGTCCCTCTTCCCTCCGATGCCCCGTACCTGTTGAGCGTCCGCGCCGTGACGTCTTGCGCCGCGACGTCGCCGTCGTCACAAGAACAGTCCGTCCGCGACCCCTTTTTGCTATGTCAGGAACATGAGGGATCGTACCGAGGAAACCCAAATCACGGTCAGTTATCGTGTGTGCCATTCCGTAGTTGAATTTTAATCGCGATACTGTCAAAAACGTGGACATTTTGCGGTCACCGGCCGAGAGGACATGAGTCAAAAATGTCCTCCGGCATGGGTCCCGCCAGTTGCTGGGTTACGCACAAGAAGCTGGAGTCTTGGGCAAGGGCGGCCAAAGCTAGAGCCCTTGGCTCCAGGAGTTCTTCTCAAACTGAAAGCAATAATAGCACCAGCAGCAATAACAGCCTAGAGGTGAGTAAAATGAAAGTGAATCTCGTAGTAATCATGGCGGTTAATAATAACAATACCCCTTCAAGAGGCATTAATAAATAAAAAAAATGTTTTCTCATTTATATTTTAAGCGTATTCGTTTACAAAGAAAGTACCGATTTCAATCATTAAATTATTATACTATTATTTATATTTTTGGGCTCGACCTCAAGAATTAGTCCTATGAAAAATAAAGTAGAAAAATATCTGTTGTTTTCTTATTATATTGTTCTTTATGTCAATATAAATTAAAAGGTTCTTAATGTCCTTTATTTTTAACGCTCGCGGGGTCACATGGTGTACAGAATTAAAGACAAATGCGTTTTCTATTAATGCTGATTGAGTACGATTACTGGTATTCATTATCTCAGCTGTTGGCGATTGTTTATGTTGGGGTGCGTAATAATTTATCCTGACGTCAGACGATAGCAACAAATCGATAGCAGTCCGTGTTTCCCTTTTAGCTACGCTTTTCTAACCTCTGAAATTGTGCGCGTATTGAAATTGATTTCACTTATGTTCGAAATGGAACGGATAGAGTCGACAATACCTTGCGAATTTTCGGAAAACTGCTTACCAATTGGTTACGACAGCTTCAACAATTTATAGTTTAAATTGATTTGAAAATTTTCTGACATATTCAACCACCGAAACAAACCCTTTCAAATGGATTATCTTCAGTTTTCAAATTAATCCCAATACTCGATTATTATTTCCTTTCGATCGATAAAATTGATTGTTAAATTTAGTAATCGCTCAGTTATTAACTTGCTAGGTATAAAAATACAAATTACTATAAAAAAATGATAATTATTATCTAGTTTGGCTGTGCCAACTTGAAAATAGAGCTCGTTACGCTGAAGAAGAATATACAGCTTTTTTGGGCGCGGAAATAAGAAATTCATAGTGCTTTTCAGTTTCAAAAAATGCAAAATTGTAATGAATAAAAATTGATATTTTTCAAATATGCAGTGTTGGAAAAGATGGAAGGGGGTTTAAACCCCCCCCCTTGCATTTACAACTATTAATATTTTCAACATCTTGACCTTGCAAATATAATATTAAACTCTTTCCATGGTACGTTGTTGTTCGTAGTGTTTTTGAGCTTCAAAAAATGCAAAAAGTATAACGAATAAAATTTGATATTTTGCAAATATGCAGTGTTGAAAAAGATGGAAGGGGGGGTTTAACCCCCCCCCCCTTTGCTTTCACAATTATCAATATTATCAACAGTCGTGGCCTTGCAATTATAATATTAAATTCCTTCCATTATACGTTGTTGCTCATAGTGTTTTTGGGCTTCATGATTGATTCAAACAAAATGATTGTACTAATTTATTATTTCCGCATATTATATGTCTAAATATAATTATTCAGCATCATCAAAAATATAACACATTAACACTTCAAGGTCATCTAGTTGACTCAGGTAATCCAAATAATTACCAAAGAATTTATCTATCGTCTTTACTGGCTAATCTTCGAAACAACTAAACCGATTTCAGTAGGACTTTACAAACATGAAGATGGAGAGAAAGTTGTCAGACGTAATCTTAGCTACTTTCTTTTACACGAAGAAATTAGAATCATTTGAGATGTGGTGTTATAGGAGGATGTTGTTTGAAAAGATTGCAAATGAGGAGGTATTATAAAGAGTAGGAGAACAGAGGAAAGTATGGAAATCAATAAGAAATAGGAGATAGATTAATAGTAGTACACCTTCTCAGGCATAATGTGCTAGTTAGAGATATATTAGAAGTAGAAAGGCAATGATTGGTTGAAGATACGAAGAATGAGTGATGCATGTCCATGCTCAAATCCACAAATCCACAAAAAATTATTACTGCCTTCTTCAGCAGGCAGTTTTTCTGGATCAATAAAAAAAATTGTAATATTAACGTTGCGTTTTTCTTTTTTATATGGAGTTACAATATTTAAGAGCTTAATTAGTTAAATGTAATTGCTTTAGATAACAGTTGATGGATTTTATTTGATTGTTTAGTCTGGCAGAGGCAGACATTGTCTAGTCACATTTGTTTTACTTTCGCCCCAAGAAACGTCTAAGGGATAAAACAACTATTGTTGTAGCTGTACTATTTTTTTTATTTATCATCACTTCAAATTGTAGGTAAATATTCATTTCTTATTCAGTTTTGAAATTCGATGCTTATGTATATTGAAGATTATAAATAATTGGAGATTAGAAATAATATATGTAAAATTTAATTACTTTGTTTGCTTTACATCAAACTGCAAAATTTAGAAACAAATTTTATCTTCTAAGTTCGTAAAGAAGTTAATAATGAGACATCCCGTTTTTNGTAATGACATCATTTCTCACCAGTATCTTATCTATTCTACATGGAACATGATAATTATTTACATGTAAATTCTAGTTCTAATATCCCGAAGAAATCGATGCTTATGTATATTGAAGATTATAAATAATTGGAGATTAGAAATAATATATGTAAAATTTAATTACTTTGTTTGCTTTACATCAAACTGCAAAATTTAGAAACAAATTTTATCTTCTAAGTTCGTAAAGAAGTTAATAATGAGACATCCCGTTTTTCTTTTCTGTACATAGATAAGGTACGTATGTGTTTTCGTGTGATTAGTGAATAATTTTGTATTTCAGGAATTCAATGTTGCGAAAGAACCGCACAAAATCCAACCTCCCCAAAACAGTTCAGGGCAGGCCTTGACTGCGGAAATGATGAAGGCTCCTCTCGACTTATGTCAGAATTCAGGTAACGCTCCACTCCTTCAACATCAATCAAAGTCCTATCCTGGAGGACAGCCTCCACTCTGCAGAACCCCAAGCGTCTCCTCGCAGAGCAGTTTGGAAAGCAGCGCCTCAAGACAGGTAAGAAATTAATTTGAGAATTTCAAGGTTAATTAAACTTATTAGCAATTTCGTAGTCGACGTATTCGAGATATTCTACAAATTTTAATTATCCACTGCTTTCTGAGTTGTGGACGTTCCCCTTTTAATTTCAGCAATAATCCCAAAATCGTTCACGTGATATCCAGTGGCAGGGGGTCTGCCCCACCCAATGGTACTAATAGCGACAGATGCCTTCTGCCCCTAGCTGAAGTGCGTTTAATCTTTGTCACTTTAGTACTTAGTAAAGAACTTAAATTTGATTATTTCTTCTGGAAAACTGTCAAAGATAAATATTTAAAACCTGTTATCAGTAAAAAGGGCTTTTAATTTCGTATCGAATGGTATCATTTAATATGAGTCATTCCATTTGAAAAAAAAAATACAACAGGCTACTGAAGTGAAACTTCTTCAAACACTCAAACATACCGGGATAGGGGTTAAGGAATTGGTTTAATGGTATTATTTGTACACTATGAATTTAAATTTTACACTATACTTGCCGGAGTTGCCTGTAACGAACGTTGCATTGAAGCGCGCTCACGGGTCAAGCGATCCCCACCACGAACTCGACTACATGGCTGAGTAGAGGGGGACATCCGTTGCATGATTTCGTTACATAGCAACTCGCATGAAACGTACTTACCCTACCGTACGTAAAGAGGTTAAGGTCGTCAAAAGTAGTTTTCGATATTTTCGGCTGATAATAACGTACACTGTTTGTCCGTAGCAAAAAACCTTCCAAACCGTAGGTTTTTAGCTTTTATGATTTAAATGCCATTTGTTCTCATTCAAACAGCTGAGATGGTAATTTTTTGAACAGTTGAGTATCTCAAAAACTACTAGAGATAGGTGCAGGGAACTATTACAAACTCGACCTAATTTTAAACCAAGAAACTAAAAATGTAAAAATATACGGGGTGTTCCATTTAAAATAACAAAGTTGGGTAGCGTCCAGAAGAAATGGAGTACCCTGTATGATTGAAAATATTTTCTAGATATACACCATATGATTCTAGACCACTTATATAAGAATCTCTTTTTCTGAAAGTATAATAACAGAGTTATGGACGAACCTGCTTTAGGTGGAACACACTGTAGAAATAGAAACTGCTTTACATCATTTTTGTTTTGATTAGCAGCATTATATGGTAGTAAATTCAAACAAAATTATTGTCAAAAAGATTACACCTTAAGAACTTGGAGTATTCGATTCCTAAATTATAAACAAAGAAGTTCATGGTAATTGGTATTCTGTCAAAATTGGAAGACGCGGATCGCGATTTCAATTTTGTTGGATCTCATCAGCGTGTTGCAGACACTTTTAGGGTTACCACCCGTACTTTATTATAATTTCGACTGTGCGTACGTTATATTTTACAAGACACATAAAGTACGCAAAAATAATTTATTTAAGGTCTTAAGTAAACATCGTAATTTTCTAAGCGATTATTCGAAATTCAGAGTATTTTTACATCAATAATATTGCACAATATAATATTTTTGAGAATGTTTCTATGTTTCTGAACGCTAGTTTCATTAACAAAGCCATATTTACGGAACAATCTGATTTCCCAAATCTGTTCAAAGTAGTGTCACTTTTGCTGTCCGTTCCGGCCACTTCAGCATTTACAGAAAGAGTATTCTCTGTAAGAACGCAAAGTGGCGGGACGACAGGAATAAAGCTTCATTAAAACTATTTAAAAATGAACTTTTAGTTTACTTAAATCTTTGCTTTTCATGTTTACAGGTTATTAATGTATTTAAGAGCGACAGCAATTTGTTACTGGCTGCTAGGTGTAACAAAAAATATGTCTTTAAAAACAAAAGATAAAATACTTTATTTTTATGCTGAGTACTTTTTTTTTAATCTTTTAGTCGAGAAATACTTTATGTAAAGCCTGAAAAGGTGGCAACCCTAGACACTTTCGACAGTAATTCTGACTACCATGAACTTCTTTTTGTTCGATTTGGTATGACGAATGGTAAATTACGTCGTATCCATTATCGTAAATGGACGTTGTTGGCCATATTAAATTCCACTAAATGTAGCATTGTACCATAGATGGCGTTCACCGTGCCGTTTATGGTACTTCCTAAATTATGAAACTATTGTTACTGTTAAACGTCGATGTTTTATATACATGTAATTAACAGGAAAGGGTTGATGACGATTTCGTTATGAAAATACATGGTTTTTCTAAAATCTATGTACAGATCTGAACTGTATGTTCTTGGAATTTTATTTCCATTTGTTTATTGTCAGAACAACCGTTATGTATTGTATGTGCCTTTGTCTCTTATCAGCTATTACCTTTACTGTGATGGTTGTTATCTGTTTAATTGCTAACCAATCGACAATTCTATAAATATGCTAATATCAAAATGTAATGACATCATTTCTCACCAGTATCTTATCTATTCTACATGGAACATGATAATTATTTACATGTAAATTCTAGTTCTAATATCCCGAAGAAATAACGTGAAATGTAAAATAGAACTGTCGTGTTGAAATTAAAAATGGATATATAAATATCTCTATCTGGAATATTTGGCACTTAATAACTTTCTTTTATCAAAATATTCTAAGCTGTAATTTATGCAATATACTTTGTGAATGCAGTTAGGAATAATGCATCCAATTACACTCACAAAAATTTCTGCAAATAATAAGCAATCGTTAAATAGTTGTCTAACTGCATTCGGCCACCTAGAAAAGTTTTGTGTCGTATAATAACCGATTTGTTTCTTAAAATTTGTACCCACTAGTAAGGAGAAGGTACATTGGGGTAAAGGTCTAGGTGATGGCCACACCCATTCGAAAGAGGAGGTCTCCCCTACCACTGTACCATAAAAAGTTCGTGGCGGTCTCACCCCCTTAAAAAGTTATAGGGGTTCAAAGTTAATAAATATGCCAATTTTTATACATTTCTAGGCATGTAAATATTTATATAGTCATTCTTAAACAATATTCAAAGGTAAAACTAATGAAAAATACATAAAAATATTGAGANATATATTATATAAAACATTATTTATTTAGTTTTGTTCAAGTAACCACCCTCATTCGATCCCCCACCTCCACCCGCTTGAAAATATTTTTTTATTGAATTTATTTGAATTATAGTGTATGAAAATTGTCAACTTTCAACCCCCATAACTTTTTATGATGATGAGACCGCCGCAAATTTTTTGTGGGGTGACACCCTCTTTCGATCCCCCTACCCCCCATCTAACCCCCATAACTTTTTATGGGGGTGAGACCGCCACGAACTTTTCATGGTACAGTGATGGGGGAGACCTCCTGTATCGATTCCACCCACCCCCACCCCCGAAGGGCCATCATCTAGACATTTACCTACATTGGAATTTCTGTCCTAGCTTAAATAAAAATAAGGGTTAAATTAAAATCTGTATTTCCTTTCTTGACCCTTTCTCCAACATTCCTTTGCCCTTGTACTTCCTGTTCTAAGTAGCTTATCGATTTTATCTTCTCTACATTCCTTAGTGTAAGTGGAGAATTAAATGCCTTACCTTCCCCAAACAATTACCAATTGTAAAAGGCAAAAATCCGCTCATTGTAAGGTTAAGATTTATTGTGAATGTGAAACCACAACCAACAACAGTTTGCCATTGAAGTAATTTAAGTAATTTAAAAACAATAGCTTAAGCTTTCTCGTCTAAAAATTATATTGTTTTTAAATTACTTAAATTACTTCGACAGCAAACTGTTGTTGGTTGTGGTTTCACATTCAGAATAAAACTTATACCCTATAATAAAAGGATTTTTGCCTTTTACAATTAGTAATTGTTTGGGGAAGGTATGGCATTTAATTCTCCAAATACACTAAGGAATGTACAGAAGATAAAATCAATAAGACATTTAGAACAGGAATTACAAGGGCAAAGGAATATTGGAGGAAAGAACAAGAAAGGAAGTACAGATTATAAAAAGATAAGAAAATTAAGGACATTTTGTATCTTCTACTATAGTTTGATTGGTATAGCATTCCTAAAATTACTGAAACCTTCTAAATTATACTTATTGGCAAAGGAAATGCATACTTTTTATTTTATTTTATTGGTTGTTATCGGTAATTTTTTGTCAGAACAGACATTTTTACATCTTTTCATTTTTTCCTGGCAAATAAAACCACCACGTGTCTTCAATTCGACTGTTGTACCTGTATCAGACGCCACGTGGTGACAACCTCCATTATCAATTTTTTAACGATTCGAAGATCAATCAATTACAAATTGATATTAACATCACAAACAACAAACAACAAATGAATCGGCCCCTTTTGTTTTGCTTTTTTTGTGTATGAAAACTATTCGGTTCATTAAACCAATTAGAAAATATACGCGTAGATGACAATGAGAGAAGGATATTGCCGTCAAATTTTCGCATTCTAAAAGCGATATAACAAGGGATGAAATTTCGCATTTGTTTTTGTATTAATTTTTATTCAAATCAACCATTCGGAGTTCAACATCCCAATGGGTATTAAAGCGTATTAAATGACAAAAAAGAAGGAAGACTTTTAAAACTTATAAGAAATACATATATATAATAAGGTGTTACCTAATCATTTAATGTGACACCACAGGGAATGAAGGCTTTTACTTCTGCTATACGTGAAAGCAATTGTATGAAAACTTCGCTAATGTTGAAGGGAACTTTATTTAGAATAAAATCGATAACAGGCCTTATATACGATTTCCTTATTTCATTTTTACATTCCCCCATAGAGAGAATTCAAGTTTCTGTGTTTTTTATAAGAAAATTTGATATTTATACGTCTCAGACGAACCTGTCTGAATTTCTTTTTCTCCTCTTCACTTGTAAGGCGACCAGTATGAAAGACGTTGAATTCCTATTTACATATTTCTTTGGCGAGCTTCTCAAGTAAATAAGTTACCTTGTAGATATAGTTTGACAATTTTACCAAACACTATGATTTACCACAGTTAACAGCAAATATCTATAGATAGTAATATAATGACTGTTATACTTCGTTTACTTTCTGTAGCGATGTGACCTTCAGTTTGACCGGCGTAAAGTAGAAAAGAACAGCACTAGGCCAGAAAAGGAAGGAGACAACTCTCGGCCAAACTCTTAACCGGTGAGGAGCGTATAATCCGTACAGTACTGCACGGAAAAATTTACCATTTTATCCACTACAATTGCATTGCTTAAATGTGCTGCTATTAGTACCATTTACTACTGAAAATATCAACGAGATGTTTATTTATATTTGAAGTCATATTAAAGGCTTTAACGCTTGTTTTCAACTCGCAGTACTATTCATGATTGAACAAAACTTTTAACAGGTACTGTATGAAAAAATATTTTAATGAATAAGGATCGAGAGTATAATGAGCTTTTTTCTCCCTACCTACGATTTTGCCAGCGCGTATCCAAGAGTTTAGAAGGGGCACATCGCTAGAGAAAGTAAATGAAGTATACTTGATATTAATAAGCAACCCTTAAAGCTACTGGATCTACATTGTACATATTTATTGTCTTCTTTCCAGGGCCATAGGGGTTCGTCACCTCAGATACGTACTTATGCTCCAGATGGAAAAACCAAAGCTGTTCAACATCACGAAGCAACATATTCTTCTAGTTATCCCCTTCACAGTTCTAGTCGTTCTCCATCTCCATTACGAGCAGCTTCACTAGATATTAGATGTAACTCACCGGGATACGTAACAGTTGGTGGAGAAATGCGTACACCCTCCCCATCTCAGTCCAGTTTAACTTCCCTTACAGGGGGGTCGGCTAGCTCTACCTGTAATTCACCAGCTTTACCGCCTTCTCCAAGAAACGCCAATTTGGGAAGGTAAATCCTTTATATCACTAATTACGTGGGTTCACGTTGGCACGTTGAAATCGTTATTAGAAAAGGACTTTATTGAATATTAATGAATGAATACCCAATGAGTAACAGTTTTCTATAAATGATAGTTCCTTATTGTTTATTTCGTGTTTCTATTGATTTTGAAATGGATTGTATATCGGGGTTCATAGACGAAAGAATCCCTTTTTTATTTTGAAATACATTTCACTTTCTTATAAAGGGTTATCTTCTGCCTTATTGTTAGTTTCTTCAAAAGTGACTTACAGCAACGTTTTGGTGCAACACATTTTTAAAGATAAACCAAGTTTTGAGACGTTCTAAAAATAAATTATTTCGATTTAGATGCCTATCTCCACTATGTATACCGTCAAGGGGCCACACTCCTGAGATGACCTCGTCTGCTCCGCCTGCCAGTCCATTAGGGGCAATCCAACCTGATTTATACACCAAAAGAGACGGTCCCTTATTTTTAGAAGGAAGTCCCAAGTCGGGCCCCTCACTAGGGCGCCTTCATTTTAGAGTAAAGTACGACTTCGACAGAAGCGATCTCACTGTTCATTTAATAGAAGGTAAGATAAAATTTTATTTAGCAAAACATGTTGCCAACTCAACTTGTTGATTGACATTAATGTGGGTACTACCATGTGCTCGTACGTAAAAATAGATCTCACTCACTAATATTTTTTTAAAATTCATTTGATTTGAAAGATGTAAAAGTATTCTAATTTCTGATTACCTAAACATTCACGGAATACCTACATATTTAGTAGGATCATGGCTGGATCATGTATGGATATCAAAACTGAAAAACTTTTTAAATATAAGCAACATTCGATTTTAGAACACTTAAGGAAGATTAACATTCTTGATCTTAATTTCACTCTTTTTCGTTACTTATTAAATTAGGTAAATATTTCTGTACATAAAGGATTGAATTAATTACTGTACATTATCAGGAACAATTATCAAATAATTTGTTTCTTCACGTGGTTTTTCATTTTCCGTAGCTCACAATTTAGCAACAAGTGACCAAGGGGGTTTCAATGATCCATATGTGAAACTGTCCATAATTCCGCCAGTAGATTGTCGTAAACGTCAAACAGCTATCCATCGAAATGATCCGAATCCATTTTTCGATCAGCATTTTAAGTTTCCAGTCACCCACGAGGACCTCCAAGCGAAAATTCTCGTCCTTCAAGTGTTCGATTATGACAGATTTTCGCGCAACGACGTAATCGGTGAGGTAAGTACTGGACGTAATCTTTACATTCAACCCTACATTCAAATTTGTTAGATATGAATAATTAATAACTAGAGGAAACGTTCGAACGATCGATAATCTCATTAAAGAGAGTGAATAAATTTCAAAGATAAAATAGGTGCTCGGTTTATGAATTGATAATAATATTTTTGTCAGTCTTATTATTACCTGTTACATCTATTTGGATCAAGTGTACCTACTTCATTAATATTTATTAATAATGTATGTAAGCCTAGTTAATTGTTTTATAGAACTTACGCTTACTCCATTTACCTATTTTCATCATTTTTTCCACCATAAATATACTTCGTTTACTTTCTCTAGCGATGTGCCCCTGGCAAAATCGTAGGTAGGGAGAAAAAAGATCATTATACTGTCGACTGTTGTTTATTAAACATATTTTTTCATACAGTACCTATTAAAAGTTTTGTTCAATCATGAATACTAGTGCGAGTCGAAAACAAGCGTTTAAGCCTTTAATATGTCTTCAAATACAAATAAACATCTCGTTGATGTTTTCAGTAGTAAATGGTACCAATAACAGCACATTTCAGCAATGCAATATTAGTGGATAAAATGGTCAATTTTTCCGTGCAGTACTGTACGGATTATACGCTCCTCACCGGTTAAGAGAGTTGTCTCCTTCCTTTTCTGGCCTAGTGCTGTTCTTTTTTACTTTGCGCCGGTCAAATTGAAGGTCACATCGCTACATAAAGTAAACGAAGTATAAAAATGCAACTAAAAAAATCTAATGTGTGTTGAGTTTAATTTTAATTTTGAAGGAACAGTTTATTTTCATATACAAAAGTGCTTTATTTCCTTGTAAAAGTTCTTTATATACAAATGACAACCAACGTCTCTTTGATTTTCGATTATTTATACTTCAGGTTCGTATGAACATGAACGAATATGACGTTACGTCAAGTATAGAAATATGGGGAGAAATTTCGAAAAATAAGAAACCTCCCGAAGAACTTCAAGAGGTCCTTCTTTCACTAAGCTATCTCCCGTCCGCCGAAAGACTGACTGTTGTTCTTTTGAAAGCAAGAAATTTGTTTATACCCGAGGAGAAGGAAAGTGTCGGTAAGTTTCCCCTTCGTGATTTTCTTACTGTTTTCTCATAAAAGTTTACTATTATTCTTCAGATCCGTTTGTGAAAGTTTACCTGATTGTAAATGGCAAACGGGTCAAAAAGAAGAAAACAGCAGCAAGAAAGAATACAACAAATCCAGTTTGGAACGAGGCGTTGAGTTTCAGCTTGTCCTCCTCAAATCTACCCAATGCAGCGATTGAGGTAGGAAACATAGAATTATTATAAATCTCTTCTTGTTATATTTTTTATTTAAAGTAATAGTTCTATATAGAACAAACTTTTGCGATCAAAGTTAAAGACTATTGAAATTCAATGTCGATACTTTTAATACAATATTCTTTACAAAAGCATCATGCTTTTTTAAAGCTATAAGCCCAATTCTAAACGCACTTTAACTAAGCGAGGTACAGCGTCGTAATATGACATTTGTACGATATTTCGGATGAAAGGGTATATTCAAATTTTTACGGGAATTTTTTGGACGATTAGAAATATTATTTTGAAACATTCTAAAAGGGGGAGTTTTACAATAGAGTCTGATCTTTCTGACGAACTTTAAATCGAATATTAATAAGTCGGCGCCAACTTCGCAAAGTAATGGCTGCTTTCGGTAGTGTAGTGTAGTGTAATGGCCGCTATCAGCAACAATGTGACAAGAATTCAAAAGTGTAATGTCTGACAGCAGCAACAATACGTTAACAATTAAAAACTATAATGGCCGACCTCGACAACAATAGGTACAACAATTAAAAAAGTGTAATGGCCGACAGCAACAATACGATAACAGTTAAATAAATATAATGGCAGACAACAACAACAAACTGTCAATAATAAAGAAGTGTAATGACCGACAGTTGCAAAAATAGCAAAATAAAAATTGCCGACTATTTATAATAGGAATAAATATATTATGTAGACTTAATGCCTCTCGTTGAAAAGAAGTGAAACATTTAAATCTGAATTATATACATTACAAGCTTAATTTACTCAATAAATTCAATAGCAATTGCAAACTAACGTGTTATTTTTACAAAAATTCAATTTTTATTGGCTTTCAAAATTTTGAAAGTTCTTTTCTGTACTATCAACACTGATATTCTCGTAGGATAAAATACAAAAATATTAATTCTTTCAAAGGTTTTTGATGAATTTTATAACGTTTTCTTTTACAACATTAAAAAATATATTCTGAAAATAAAAATCAATTATTTGAATATAAAAGAAAGACAAAATTGTCGAAAGTATAAATAAAACGGTAAATAAGTTTGGCTGTCGTGGGCTGACGCCTGTTTTTGGAGTATAGAATTCAAAATCTAAAAATTTTCATGCTGTAATGATACTGGCAATCATGAAGGTTTAGTTGGAGACATATTAGGAGCAGAAGCAGGTGTTAAGAGGAGTAAAGGTCTATAGACCTAGATTAGATTACTATTCGCAAATAATTAAGGATGTAAACGTCTTAGAACTGACGACCCTATGATGATGATGAAGGACATTATATGAACACTAAATATATAAATTAATGTAAGTATTACTTGTATACATAATATAATTAGAAAGGTAAGCATGAAATGCAAAATCAAATTAGTTACTTATTTTAACACAAATTGTTTAGCTTTATTAACATTAATAACAGTTTCTTAATATAGTAGTAGTAATAAGTATAAATGGTTTTGTTTGTAAGCCTCCCCCTGTATAATACTTTGTAATTTGTTTTGTGAATGTATTAACTGATTCTGATAATGTACAAGTGCATAATACTAACATGTAATTTATTAAATTATTATACAGTTGTTGTAGCATTTTCTTAAGTAAATAAATAGTATTCTAAAGAAACCTAACCTAACCCAATAATACACTGTATATTTTATACTAATGCTTACTTAATGTGACTAACCCCTAGTTGCATATTTCATAATAAACAGTAACTTTGTTTTTTGTTATAGGTATCATTAATAGATCAAGGAAATGATCTCATAGCAAGTAATCCTTTAATAGGGTGCTGTATAATAGGTCCACATGAATCAGGGCCGGAGCGGGACCATTGGAAGGACATGATGCAGAGCCCCAGGAAGGCAGTGGCTTGTTGGCATACCCTCCGATTGGAATGAATTAATTCAAATAAAAATAGAAAAAAAATGCATTAAAAAAAAGTAACAAATGATGGAAGTACTACATCGTGTGAAATTCAGTTGACTGAAATGCGATGAAATGCATGAAATTTTCCGAATGCGAACATTTAATTTTTTTAATTCAAATAAGTATACACGTTTCATCTTCGTTTTTATTAGGCACAAGCAAATCAAACAGATGTCCTTAATTATGTATCGTACAAAAAATTTTAGAATAAGTTTTCCCTTAAAATGGTACCAAAATTAAAATGGGAGGCTGATAATTGTCATTTTTTGTTTGAGATTCGACTGATTTGTGGTTTATTTGTCTATTATCAATACCGAAAATCATATCATTATGTTACGCGTTGTATTCGATGTTTGAATTTAAATAATGAACTTAATATTCCTACCTATACCTGTTTATGAATAAGTCAAAGTACCTGATAGCAGAATTTAGAATAAAAGACACAAAAGGGAACCGAAATGGAGATAATAATAGTGGTATTTAAATGGCACATATTTAACATACATACATAATAACATGTGTATATTATGTAGGTAGGTATACATGCATATATATTGTTATGGATGTGCAGAAATGGACTGTACTAGTTATCTAATAATGGGTTATAATTGCTAATTAAGTAAATGTTATTTGTTATTGTATTTACTTCCTGTTTAAAAGAATGTAATCTTCAGTATTATGAAAATATTTATTCGGCTTTAATGAAGATATAACGTCTCAATATTTATCTTCATTTATGAATAGGATGCTTCAAAGTGGTAGAACGAAAAGTGAAATACATGAACTTTTGCTTTTTCAAATTATTTTACCGATTTTAACATCATATTGTTTTTAAAAATGAGTTGTTTGTTTTTTCTTTTTTGAAAAGCGGGAAATTCCAACAATTGAGTATTTGTAATGGCCGACAATAGCAACAATACGGCAATTAAAAATTGTAATGGCCGACAACAGCAACAATACAAAAAGATGCAATGACCGACAGAATCAACAATACGTAAACAAGTACCGCAACAATGAAAATATTAAGATGGCCGACGATAAACATTAATAATAAACGTAGACTTTTTATATTATCCATACTTTATTACAATTGTTTCAAACGTTTTATACAAATGCGCAAGTTGTTGAACTGTTTCTATTTAACTAAGAGTAAAATAAAATAAAAAATACTTACAATTAGCTAAGTTAAAATATAAAACCAAGCATACTCAGGCTATTGCGGGTAACTTCCGTCGCATGCTGTGACGTAACTTCCGTCGCATGCAATACTAAACTAGTCAATGTAGTATCTTACTTTTCGTTCTTCATTTTCGAGGTTGTCCTAATCTAGGAACACTGACTACGAAAATAAAACATCAGCTTTTGCAAAAATCAAATTTCAATAAGAAAACAGATTTCACCAAGTATTCCAAAAAAACATGCTTTATTATTGCTATTATTCAAACGGTCTAAGTAAGCATAAAACATGTACATAATTATATACTGGGTGTTTTAACTTTTGTATGTAATTACATATTGGTTTTTTATTTAATTGTTTAAAAAACAAACGTTTAATAGTAATAATAAGCTACTAAAAACGCTTATGGTAATGTCTATGATTATGATAACATATACAAAGCCAAATAATGAAAGTTGTTATACATCTAAGTATATATTATATATATTATAATTTATTCTAACTATAGTTTAATGTATTTTCAACGTCACTGTCTACAGGCGCTTAAAGATATGTGTAAGTAATTGTTTAATTAATGCGAAAAGTGTGTTTGCTAAATGTGATACAATTGTTACTATTATCGTCGTTAGTAATTATGTGGCTATTAAAGAGCTCATATAAAAACCAATTAATGTTCTCAAAACACCTACGACTCTTATGTATTAGTCTATTATTTCAAAAAAAAAGTACCATTCTCCTTTGTGGGATTACTTGTGTGGCCTACGAAATGTTATACAAAAGACGCTTATTGTCCTTATGAATAATACACTTATTACTTACATAATATTATAAATATACACAGAACTCTAAAACAATCCTGCCAAATTCGACTTTTAACCACAAATCTCAGTTTATTTAAATAGAACTAATTATGAGGCCCTTTTTTGATGTAAATTATACACGTTTTCGTCGTTTGATTTAATTTTTAATCATGATTGCATTTGCTTGAGGTACATTTTCCAAACTTAAGAAGAAAACTGAGTCTAATGGAAATTTGTTCTTCGGGATAAACCTTCTGACAATGAGATTATTGCAGAAAGTGGGACTTTTCCGACTCTATGGTTAGTTTACCCACCAAGGGACGTCAAATTTTAAAAATTGAGATCTGATTGCTATTAGCTCCAACATTCTGAATTCGAAAATCGCATTAATTTTGATATAATTTCAATATTTCTTACTAAAAAGTATGAATCTTTTCTTCTTTTAATCACAACCTTTTGATTTCAATTGCTATAAGAAAAACTATTTCATATTCTTATTAAATATGTACTTCTCAATAAATCAAAATTCGACCAATTAAATTAGCTAAAACAATGGTTCAGTTAAAAGCATGTCCTTTATATACTCATTTCTGCAATAATCTCAAATGGACTAATTCGTGTGATGGATGTATTTACGTAGTGGTTACATTTCTTCTTCCTAAATTTATTTTATTAAAAATTACCAATAACAATTATTTATCCAAATTTAATGACGTAAGTGTTAAGGTCCTCTTTCCTTAGCATTTTCTTCATTAAAATTGTCAGTCAGATAACTTGTAGTAACCGAAGCTAACATTTATAATTATTTTGTGTGTATTTATACAGGATGTCCCATTTTTGTTCTGAAAGTTATAAAAAGTTCTTATGTAATTGTGTCCTACATGAGAAAATAAAAAAACTGATAGAGGTAATTTAGAATGACATGAACTATGACCAGGGACGTCGCAGTAAGAAAACTGCTTCTTCATTGATTTTTACGTTTCTACCTTTTGAAAACATTAGCTACGAACTCTTATTACAGTTTATCTTTGCTTCAACCCCTGCTGTAAACCGAAGGACATGGTTAAAATACATAGAGTAACAATCGAGTCAATGTTTTCCAAATGTGGAATATGAATGCGATAAGGTCAGCTTCTCGCGCATCTAAGGGCTCATGTCTTTCTAAATTACCTATAGCTAGATAAGCTATCGCATGGACATGCATGTATATATACACTATTTCTGACCTTAAAATGATTAATCATTTTATCTAAATAGACCGAAATATTTCCCAATTATTATTATTGTATAACAAGAAACGTTATGATCTCTCAAAACCGTTTTTTAATTACAGTTAATTAGTTGCCAAGATAGAGGTTATTGTTCTGGATAATATACGTATATTTAATTTATTACTTTTAAAAGTGTTTTTAAAAAGATTTGTTATTACCATTCACAAATTTATATTTTGATTGGTGAAATACAGAAAATGAAGTTAAATCAACATATAAAAATAGATACATTTTTATGAAAGTAAGTAAGTATTTAAGTTTGAATTAACGAAAGCATTGCCAAACTTTTATTTTTAATATGTATTTATACATATACATATAAAATACATATAGATATTTACACAGGCTGGACAATCATTCAAATTACTTTATTGTAATTTTATACTTTGATACATGGACTTATTCGGCTATCAAAAATTGCCAAAATTTAACTAAACGATTGACTATTTAATGTAGTGCTTATGTAAATTTCGAATTAACAAGGTAAACTTTACAGGGTTTTGCAAAGTAAACTTCATTTAGCCTAGCACAGATCTACCTGTTGTACGTTACGTTCCAGTTTTAATTTCTAGATAAACTTTATGAGTAGCTTAAATAATCGCATATTGTTTGTTATTTATTAGCTTAGTAAAATAATAAGTTCGGATAGAAAATGTGTCTGTTAGCTATAGTTATTTCAGGTGGAATTGTCGTTTATGGATTTATTATAAATAAATGTTTGTTTAAGTTTTGCTGTAAGTCTAATCTGTCGCAAATTTCGTCAAAAATTAAATCAAAAAACTAGATAATAAATAAATAAATTTAATGGCGTCTTTAATACTACTGACATCGTTTCTTTCTTTACAATTTATTCGAACAAAATGGAATGCATAGTAGTATAAAGTTTCGGGCTATAGGGCCGTAGTCTAAGTGTCCAGACGTTTCGTCGGCTACTGCGGCTGACATCCTCAGTGGTAGTGCTGCGTTGACAACGTGAAAGTAGATTATATCTCTAAATCTCGACAGCGACTGGTGACTCAGCACTACCACTGAGGATGTCAGCAGCAGTAGCCGACGAAACGTCTAGACAGAATATTTCACTTAGACTACGGCCCTTTAGCCCGAATCTTCATTCTACTATGCATTCCGGTCGTGAAAGTCTTTGTTCTTATAAAATGGAATGCATTTGTATAAAAGTGTTAATTAAATGGAATTAAATGTAAAATAATTGTGACAGATCGAATGACTGAATGTGGACAAGTGCAAAATATAAATTTGCAACTTCTTTTATTGAAAGAGATATGTGACCTTCAGATAGACTTAATTTTGGGTTCTCTCTTTAATTTTAAAGTCTTCACAAAAATATTAGTACTTAATGAAATAATGAAAAATATCCATTCGCTTGATTGATTCGGAGATCTCTTATTAATTGTTTATTGTTTTGTAAAAACAGTCAATAAACAAAGTTACAGATTTCAACGTAAAAAATGGAAATATTTTTTAGATGACATATCTTATGCTTTTTGACACTACTTTTTCACAAAGTTGGTGTTATCATCGAAATACAAATTTTTACTAATTGTAAGTATAACATTTGTAAAATGTTTGTCATTATATAACAACAACTATACCATTTAGTATGTAAGAAAATACTGTGTACTTTGAAAAGTGTATAATGTTATATTTTACAGAAATAAATGTACTTTGTCGAGTAGTTGCAGTTATCAAAACCCAAACGTTATCAAATAATCAACATCTAATAAATATGAAATAAACAAAGTGCTACATTCCAGTTTCTTGCTATAATTCCTAACTTTTTTATATACATACTTAATTAATGCTTATTTATAACTTAATAAACATTGTATGTAGTTTCATATAAGGGATAGTATAACATCCCAGATCTTGTTTCGAGCGTGATCGTCTATCATTTATTATCCGAATACTTGCTCTCTTTAACAGTCGTATGCTTGAACGATCGACCGAGAGAACGAGACTTTTCCGTGGATTTGTGATGAATTGCAAATAGAAATTTGTTTTGAATATTAATGCGTGATTTTTGTAATAAATTAAACTTTTTTACATTTGTATTACATGGAGAATGTGTTAGTTTCTCTATTTAATAGTACCTGGGGCTGATTTCCGAAATTAACGAATTATAATGTTGAAAGCTTTTTCATTATTTTAGACCTATACGATTAAACTAACTACCCACAGTTGAAAGCTTCTTCATTGTTTGAAAGCTATACCATTATCGAAGTAGTCGTTGCGTATTTCAATTTTTTTCAATGAGTAAATCCCTTTTTGTCGATATGAAAAGTGTAACTAAAATCAAGCATAATTTTTATCTTATATTCTCCCAATAGTCCTAAACAGAAATAAAAAATTCGCCTTGAAGATTAATGCATTTTTGTATGAAAGAAACTTCATTAACGCTGTATTAACAGATGTGTTAGGTCCTCTATTTAATAGTGTGTGGGGGCTTATTTCCAAAATTAACGAATCAAAGTTGAAAGCTGTTTCATTGTTTTAAAGCTTTTCAATTATCGTGGTGGTTGTGGTCTAGTTTTAATATTTTTTAAATAGAACAAGGATCATTTTATCGTTAATATTATTGTATCTAATTTCGAGCGTGATCGTCTATCATTTATTATCCGAATACTTGCTCTCTTTAACAGTCGTATGCTTGAACGGTCGACCGAGAGAACGAGACATTTCCGTGGATTTGTTATGAATTGTAAATAGAAATTTATTTTGAATGTTAATGCGTGATCTTTGTAATAAAAAAATTTTTTTTGCACTTGTATTACATGAAGAATGTGTTAATTTCTCTATTTAATAGTACCTGGGGCTGATTACCAAAATTAACGAATCAAAGTTGAAAGCTTTTTCACTATTTTAAAGCTATATCATTATAGAAGTAATTGTTGCTTATTTTAAATTTTTTTAATGAGTAAGGCTTTTTTTGTCGATATGAATAGTGTAACTCAAATCAAGCGTAATTTCTTTCTCATATTCTCCGAATGCTTGCTCCCTTCGATAGTCCTAAACAGAAATTAAAAATTTGCCATGAAGATTAATGCATTTTTGTATGAAATAAACTTTATTACTCTTGTATTACTGGGAGATATGGTAATTTCTCTATTTAATAGTGTATGGGGGCGGTTTCCGAACTTAACGAATCAAAGGTGACAGCTGTTTCGTTGATTTCAAGTTTTACGATTATCGTGGTGGTTGTGGTCTACTTTTAATATTTTTTTAAACAGAAAAAGTATTCTTTTGTCCTTAAGATAATGTACCTAAATTTGAGCGTAATCGTCTGTCATTTATAATCCGAATACTTGCTCTCTCTAACAGTCGTATGCTTGAACGGTC